TATCCACTTAGTTACTATACAGGATGTTTAGTGGGTTTGTTGATTTAAAGACATCACATAGTCCTGATCAAATGACAGTAATAACTATAAACCTTTGATCGCTGTGTAAAATGCCTCCACTTTGTGGTTAATTTCAGAACTAGGCATGACCACAGAGTCTGACTCTCCAGTAGAGTGAGTGTGAATGGAGTGACACGAGTGGACGAGTCATGGACAGCCAATGCAGCAGCAGTGTGGGTTCACGGGCCACTATAGGGGGTGTGGGCAACATTAACTCAACACCCATTTCTGCCCGTATCGAGTCCTATGAAGGAGGAGAGAAGAAGTGCATCTCTGATGTCCGAAGAACCTTTTGCTTGTTTGTGACCTTTGACCTTTTGTTTGTCACCTTGCTGTGGATCATTGAGCTCAATGTATGATATAGTAATACATTTCGACTAGATATTATTAATAATATGAAGTTCTTAGCATCTTTTAAATATATCTGAAAAAACACCAGTGTAATACTGATTTAGTTGCACTGCATTTTGTCTGATACATACATAAGGTTTTAATTTCTTGTTTATCTTTATCCAGGTCAATGGAGGTATACAAGAGCAGCTGAAAAAAGAGGTGTTGGAGTATGATTACCGCCAATCTTTTTTTGACATATTTGTAAGTACTAGCATATACAATACCCTCTATTTCTGAAATGCTAGTTTATTATTTGAGAAGTGTTTTAAAGTAAATATTTTAGGTCAGTTGGGTTTAGCTGACAAACAAGTTTGGGAACCCCTAACTTATTGCAATGCAAATACATGTGTGCACAAGTAAACAGGACCTGCTCTTTAAGATGCATTACATTTGGATGCTTTAGCAGGGAAATCACCAGCATTTAAAGGTGTGAATTCTGATGAAACTGGTTGTGGTAAAATTTTAGGGCCAGTCCATCCCACAGTTCCTTTTTCAAAGATGACTCTTCTCACTTAACATGTGACCTCACTTATGCTCTTTCAAACCACATAGTTTCTGTCCAGGAAAACAGAGGCCTGGTTTC